ATGACAAGAATTTTCACCTGTTTTTTCATAAATATATCTATCATTTTTCTTCTTTGCCCATGACACGCATTTGCCACAACTAAATTTCCATGCCTACAGTAAATCATACCACGTACAGTATCCCTACATATAGTACCACCAAATCTGCTGGGTGTACTATGAAATACTACTACTACTACTGTACCATTCTACGATACTCTACGGTACCATACCCCGAACAAGCTCTATACCGATTTCCCCTCCCCTGGAGAGCTGGTTACAGCGAGCCGCTTTTCTATGAGGTGCGCCGTAATAAACGTACACAAAAAACGTGCATCCCCACGGGCGCATGGTACTTTCGGATCTTGGAAGATTTGCTCCCGGGAAGGTTTCTGGTGAGGGTATAAGTCCTAACAGTTGAGAATTTCTGCATTCTATAACTATTATGGACTGTCTGTCCGTCTGTGCCATTGACTTACAAAACAACACCATTGATGATGTTTTTTTGCCATAAGAACAGTGTCGTTGTAGCACCAATTTGTTTGGCAATTCACAACTGCTAGGCAGCGATTCTATCCAAAATGGCGCTTGTCTGTGCCCTGCCTGCGCATAGGTAGTCAATGCAATCTTCTTGGCTGTTGGAATCTTTTTTTTTAGGAGTGTTTTGGGTTCTTTTCATTTGTTGAGTGTCACACAAGGCAGCGTCTCCCTTTGCTAGCTGCTATGGAACTTCATGTCTAGGCTGTGATTTGCTGTCAATCAGATATTGCTTTCATACATATTGAATTGAGTCTGCCCATTGGCAGTTAGACTCCTCATTGTTTTTGCTGTGGATGAACAGGAAGACGGTGGAGAAGGGCCAAGATGACAGTTTTGGGGGACGTGCCAGAGACAAATCGCACAACAGAGGAACAACGCGGAGCATGCATCGCCTCTTCCCACAAAAGAACAACTATCCAAACACAAATATGGTGCAATAAAAAGTAAAAGTAACAATGCATGTCTCCATTCTAACCTTGAGGCAACCTTCATTGCTACATACGTTCTCTTAGTCACATGCTGTTTTCTAGGTTACTGCAAGGATGCTTTACCTTCAATGTCCTGATGAGCTGATGTCTCTACTTTCTCCACCAGAAATTTGTGGAAGAATCCATTTTGTTCCAATCGTGCTTCCTTTTCCAATGGGAGTTGCCTTCCATCCTTGATCTATCTTTTCATGAAATGAAAAAAGTCCCTCATCCGTTTCTTTTCCAATTAGGTCATCTTTGTTCCGCCCCCAACAAAAATCCAAACGATCTCTTGGGTACTTTTCTTTGATGCTGCAATGTAAACAGGCCTTCCACTGAAGGCCTTTTCAGTTTCCCTCACATCTTGCAGCATATCTACCAAGAAAGGATGCTTTGGGGCTACCAATTCTTCCAGCTTGCCGCTAGACCTTTCCATAAAAGCCAGCAGTATGTGTAATCCTTTGGACTTCAGAATGATGGTTGGTGAAAAATCCAGCATCACAACAAAGTATTGACCATTCCACTTACATAATTCTCAATCATCTTTTGTCTCTCGGCTGCAAATGCCCTGGACCAATGCTGGTTGGACACCCAAGTGAGAACCTGGCCATCAAACATGCCATCCTCCTCCTTATCCAAGGTGTCCATGATCCGTCCCTTCCTTCCCTACGGGGT